GCCTCAGCCTCCTGAGTAGCTGGGATTACAGGCACGCATCACCATGCCCAGATAATTTTTTGTATTTTTAGTAGAGACGGGGTTTCACCATGTTGACCAGGATGGTCTCGATCTCTTGACCTCGTGATCCACCCGCCTCGGCCTCCCAAAGTGCTGGGATTACAGGCTTGAGCCACTGCGCCCGGCCTGATACTCTTTTTTTTTTTTTTTTTTAAAGATGGGGTTTCACCATCATGGCCAGGCTGGTCTTGAACTCCTGACCTCAGGTGATCCACCCACCTCGGCCTCCCAAAGTGCTAGGATTACAGGTGTGAGCCACCGCGCCCGGCCGACTTTGATACTCTTAAAACAAAAAATTTTTTTTTTAATTTAAAAGTAAAATTTATTTTTTTTTTAGAATTGGAACCTTGCTGTGTCACTCAGGCTGGAGTGCATTAGTACCATTATAGTTCACTGTAGCCTTGAACTCCTGGGCCCAAGCAGTTCTCTTGTCCCAGTCTCCCAAGTAGCTGCCACACTCTTCTAAGACTCTCTTTGTCTGTACACTGGGGACAATTAACTCCCTTAATTTACCTCATAGGGTTTTAATATGATAGAAAGTGAGAGTCCTTTTTTAAGCAGTAAAGCCTTAAAAGATGCAAGTTTTTATTTTTAAATTTCACCAATGATTAGTCTTGGGGCAAAATCACTTGGGTGATATGTAGAATTTGTCACTTTGTTAGACTTACATTCATTCTGATGAGCTATTTTATTATATGGTCAGCCACTATCAATTCAACTTTCAATGTAACAGGTTTATTAATCTGCTAATTTGCTGGTGTTGATAGACAGTTGTTACCAATCAGCTCACTATAAATTCAAAATGATACACTGATTTTAAAACAACCGTGAATATCATCTTAAGGATCATCATTCTTAAATGAAGGCATAAGTAAAGACTAACAAATCCTTTTTATTCTGTTATTAGGTCTCATTTTTTTTTCTAATCCCACTTGAAAAAAAAATGATAGTTTTTCCATTATCTCATAGGTGTATCATACTATACTGTGTGTTTTAAGAGTTAGGCAGGGTTGTGAAAAAAAATTTAAAAAGACTTGATCCCAGCCTTGAAGCTTTATAGTTTGGGGAGGCTGGGTGATATGAAATGCTATTTAACAAAATAAGACAGTACAGTTGGTTTCCATTATTTTCCTCCGTTCACTTCATGGGTTCTTGAATTTTCCTCCTTTCATTTGATAGTTTTTTATTTATAAGATTTTTGAACTGATGAAGGTGAGTTTGCATTGTTGGTCGTAATTACACATTAGAAACCATCTTGATTTCCCCTACCCATTAAGGCAAAGTTCAATACTTCATCTGTACTTGCTAATATAATAATTTTTGAAAAACATTTTTACCACAGTATTTGCCACATGGCTTTAGTCTTATTTCTCCTAGACCACAACCTTACTTTGGGGATCTTTATCTCTATTGCTTGGCATATAATAAGCTGTACAAGAAAAGGACAAAACTTAGTGATGCTAGAGAATGCTAAAGAGTATAGAGAATCTGGTGGGGCAACGTCCTATGAAACAATTGAAATGATCATTGATAAGCTTAAAGGTTTAGGGAGAGGAAGGTTATAAACAGAAGGCAAGATAGGTAAAAAAAATAATAATAAAGGTGAGATAGCAGTACTTATTTACAGGTCATTGAGTCTAGTCAATTACATTGGGGAATTATAAGGAATAAGTTAGGAGTAAATAGTCTGAAGCTAATTTATAGAGAACTGCATACCAGACTGAGGAGTATGAATTCCCCCTTTGGTATGGGGAAACTAATTTGGTCAATGGGTAAGCAAAGATAGTTCCTCTTTTCAGGTTGCAGAAGTTGGCCCTGCATTTAAACTTAATGTATTTTTTGGAGGGTAGTTTCCTCATTTAGCAGTTGATTTGTATATATCTCTTTCAACACTGGAAAGTATCTATATAATAGCTTATAGGTAGAAACAGACACCTTAATTCACACATTCTGTGCTCTAGCTGTTCTTTGTAAACACTAAGTGAATGCTTACTTTCATCCCTTTGGTCTGTTTGTCAGAAATCCTTTTCTGTTGCCATGCTTCCAGCTCCTATCCATCTTTCAGGTTTAGCTCAAATTCCACCTCATCTAAAAAAAGCTTGACCTAGGCCGGGCGCGGTGGCTCAAGCCTGTAATCCCAGCACTTTGGGAGGCTGAGGCGGGTGGATCACGAGGTCAAGAAATCGAGACCATCCTGGTCAGCATGGTGAAACCCCGTCTCTACTAAAAATACAAAAAAAAATTAGCTGGGCATGGTGGTGCATGCCTGTAAACCCAGCTACTCAGGAGGCTGAGGCAGGAGAATTGCCTGAACCCGGGAGGCGGAGGTTGCGGTGAGCCGAGATCGCGCCATTGCACTCCAGCCTGGGTAACATGAGTGAAACTCCGTCTCA